TCGCGCTGCGTAAACATAAACCTAGACATGTGGGGGCGTGTTAGAACGAGCCGTTTTAGGGGGGCGTGGCAGAGTCTTAACTTTGATAAAGAATATCTCTTTGGTTTTGAGACTTTAGTCTTTGCAACTTCAGGGATCTTATCTATGCACAATCAGCTTGTAACACTCCAAAGAGAAAGGAAAACTTGAAATCGCATCATATGACCTCTTTAACATGATGCGCTCCAGTTCTTTAGGATGTTATGCAATACCTGTTAAATAAATTATGAGTCCATGTTTCTTTGGTAGGCTATCAGGCAATATTTAAACTGTATGTAAACATAATTTGCCCCTTCCTTGAGTCTTTACTATATTTTTGTCTACATATGACACGTTGGTTTGTTATTTGAAGAAGGTGCTGAGGGAAGGAGGGTGATTGTAGCAACTCATAATGTAATAACTGCACATAACGTAAAAACTGCACATAATGTAATAAGTATTACATTATAATTGTAATAAAATGTTCATAATGTCATAATTTTCTCAAAATGTAATAAAATCTTGAGCTCATAATGTAATAACAATTATTACATTATGAGAAATGTATTACATTATAAACTGACCAAAAATATTGTAATATTCTCATAATTACAATAAAGTATAAGCAGCCCAGTATTAGGGACAGTCAAAATATTTGTGCTGTTATTTAGCCTATGTGTATAATATATATTTTATATATTATTTGCTTTGCTTAATCTTTTCATGTACAAATTAATTTCGTTTTAGAATTAATTTATACATGAATGGATTAAGCAAAGGAAATATGTTCACGTCTGAGATTCATTTTAGCATTCATATAGAATAACTAAACTATAGCTGAACTTTAGTGAGGGGACATTGTTCCTCTTAGCATCATGAAAAAAACCTTTAATTAAAATTCGGAATGCATTACAGATAGTCTAGTATGTGTGCAAAGAGTCAAGTCAAGTCACCTTTATTTATATAGTGCTTTTAACAATACAGATTGTGTCAAAGCAACTGTACAGCATTAATTAGGGAAATATTGTGTCAATAATGCAAAATGATAATAGTAAACACTCAATTTTCAGTTAAAGGCAGTTCATCATTTAATTCAGTGATGTCATCATCCAGCTCCGTTCAGTTTAAATAGTATCTGTGCAATCAAGTCGACGATATCGCTGGAAATTTAGTGTCCCCAACTAAGCAAGCCAGTGGCGACAGCGGCAAGGAAACGAAACTCCATCGGTGACAGAATGGAGAAAAAAAACCTTAGGAGAAACCAGGCTCAGTTGGGGGGCCAGTTCTTCTCTGACCAGACGAAACCAGCAGTTCAATTCCAGGCTGCAGCAATGTCACAATTGTGCAGAGGACTCAACTAGTTCCTGTGGTATTGTCCCGGTGGCCGTCTAGGAGACATGGTCCTCACTGGGGATCTGTCTTTGTGGCTCATCTAGTTGTCCTGATCTCCGCTGACATTCAGGGCTAGAAGTCCTCTCTATAGGTGCTGATCCACCATCTGGGCTGGATATGGACTGGATCCGGGTGACTGCAGTGACCATCTGATCTGGATACAAACTGGATCTGGTGGCTATGGTGACCTCGGAATAAGAAAGAAACAGACTAATATTAGCGTAGATGCCATTCTTCTAACAATGTAGCAATCGGGTGTTATGGGAAGTGTTCCCGGTTCCGGTTGTCCTAATTAATGCAGCTAAAGAGTGCTCCCTTTATAATTTCAAATGCACCTGTCACTCAGCTCAGTTCATCGTTTCAATGGATGTGTCTGTGATTAGCTACACTGCTCAACGCTGCAAACATTGTAAATAGAAACAGCTGATGCTCTCCATAGTGCACATGCAAATATGCACAGAAGAGTTTGCTAATATGTTATTATTACAGTTTCAACTAAGGGCGCTCTTGTTTTTTTTTTGTGAGAGTGATTAGCTCCCTAAACTGGGCGTGACATGATAAACTGCTTTCTGTTTGGGTTTAATATGGAATGTTGCTTAAATATGGGAACAGTTGGCAATCCTACTTTGCATGTTTTAAACATGTAGATTTTGTTCTTACTTTGACCATGCATTAAATGCACATCCCTGAAAGAGCGCAGTTTTCTGACAAATGTACTTTAAAGTCCTCGTGAACCGGAAGTTGTTGCCGACTGGATTTCAGTGTGGTGATGTATTTCCAACTGAAACAGGATATTGAGTCGAGGACGGGGTTTTATTTTTGCGCTCCTCCTCTCATCTCTCACTCACAGCAGACAAAATGGTCGGAGGGGCGTAGTTAAGCATATTCTGCCCAAGCATCAAATCAGAGAATGCATGCCATTCCAGAGCGGAAGCAAATGATCAGATTTTGATTATCTAGCAAAATAAATATAATAAATTTTGATTTCATGCGGACTTTAACATCTCATGTAATGTCCGTGGTATGATGCCAACGACAGTGGTTACATATATTTTAATTGATCAAAATTTTTGCTAGGAACAATTCAGTTGCGCCCCTACTAAATTCTATGCCCTTGAACTGAAGACATTTTTTATGAACAAATTTGGAAAAAACAAATAAAAGTTTCCAAAGTCTAATGTCTGGGATAGATTGCGTTATCTGCCCCAGGCAACAGCAGCACGGAGCACAAGTTAAATGAACAATTCTTCACTTTAATACAAGTTATAACATGAATGTACATCAGAGGATATGTTGAAAAATAAAGTACAGCTTACAATCACGCATCATTTCTGTGCCTATAAGCAGTTTTAACCAGGGAAATCATCAGTATAACAGTCTGTGAAGAATGTATCAGTTACGTGACATTTACATCAGGAAGATAAAACGTCTAATCATATCGCCAAAATTATAAATACATTAGGCCTATACATTTGTGTAGAATATAAACAAGTTTTTATAACAACCATTTAAATGACTATCCCCCGGTTTCACAGTCAAGGCTTATGCCTAATGCCAGACTAAAATCTAAGTCTGAGCTGTTTCAACTGAAAGAAACTTGCTCTGACTAATCTTAAAATATGTCAGTGCCTTTATTTTGTCTCAAAATGCACACCAGTAATGTTTTTTCTAAGGCACGTTTATAAAACATTATTTAAATGTCCTAATTGAACTATGGCCTAATCCTGGTTTAGTCTAAGCGCTATATCTAAAAAAAATTAAGCATGTCATAAATCACAAAATTAGTAAGCTTTTTATAAAAAAATAAAAGTTCACTATGTAGCCTAATAAGCCTAATTTTCTTTTAATAAAACTATGATTATGTTTTGTGCTCAAATTTATTATATTGAAAGATAATTATGATATTGTAAACATAATAATTGTTTTAAATTATGTGCTGGTATTACCTTATGAACTGTGATTACATTGTCACGTTGTACACACACGAGGGACGAGGAGACGCTGGAGAATACTTTACCAAGACTTTATTTACAGGAACCAAGGGAGACGAACTCAGGAAGACGTTTACACGAAGACGTTCAACAGCGGACAGAGAACTAGGGACTGGGAACACTTTAAATACACACAGGAGGAGGGGATGACGAGACACACCTGGGATCAGTGAACCATCATGGGGAACACCTGGGACAAATTAAACATGGGAAAGGAACACCTGGGGAGTAAGACACAGACAAAACATGGAACAGAGTCTGACAATTATAAGTTGCCACAGTGTGTTCATAATGTAATACATTTCTCATATAATAACCTATTACATTATGTGAAAATTGTTAGTACATTGAAAAATTATTATTACATTATGAGCTCAAGATGTTACGTTTTGAGAAAATTATTACATTACATTATGAACATTTTTTTACAATAATAATGTAATATTTATTACATTATGTGCAGTTATTACATTATAAGTTGCTACAGTGATTCAAAACTCCATGGTCATCCCATGGTGCATTATGTCCAATGGGATTTGAAGTGTCAAGATTAAACACTTGAGTAGCCTAAACTAAAAGCCTGAAAGTGCTCTATTGGTATAAACACACATTAAATGGAAAACAGATTATTGTCATTACTGGAGACGTGAGTATTAATCCTTGCTCGTGGAAGAATTTCTGTCCATGAATGCATGCTGAATGGGCTCAGATCCGCGGGTAGTAAAACCCAACCCTTACTCCGCAGGGCCACTACTCGGGCACTGGACCAACAACCCAATGGAATCGAAGAGGGTCCAGTCTTAAGGTGGAACCAGATACGCCGATGTTCTACCGCAATGTCTCATAACGTTAAAAAAATATTTAAGATGTTCAATATTAAGGTTGTAAAATAATGTTTTTGTATTATTTTATTTATTTATTTATTTTTACAATATTTTAATTATACAGCTACATTCAATGGAATTACAAAAACAAATGGAACACAAGTAGCTTTAAACTTGCTATGGGGACCAGGCACGGAATGGATGATTAATAAATGAATTAGGCTAGTCACTGCGCTTTTATAATCCGAGACGGCAAGAGAAACTTTCGAAACATTTTTAGGATGTTGCTTAAATAAAATATACTTCAGAACATCTAAATATAGAACTAATCTGCATCAGTAGGCTACTGGACACAAACATAGTGTTGATATGATAGATCTAAATAAATAAATAAACCTAAAACTACTCTCAAAATATGAATTGTTTGCTGTGCTTCACATTGTAATTACCATTGTAAAGACAATACGTCTGAATTATCTCTCAGTTCCACCTTAAGAAATACACTTGACATGATTAGAGAGCACGATCGAGCTGCAGCGATCCGCGCCGTAGAGCAGCAGGCTCTATATAAACCCATACGCGCTGCATAGATCAGTGGACAGCTCCGTGGTGTTGAAACAACTCGATACTCACACATCAAACATTGGCAAAGAAGGCAACCCGCAATGGAGAGAATATCATGGACACTTTTTCTGCTCTCTCTCACATATCTGGAGGGATCTTCGCAAGATTTCGGACAGACCCAGTTTATCTGCACGTCTGTGCCCAAGGATATTGACCTGTGCACAGCCACTATGCAGAACAGCGGACCAGCGGAGGATCTGAAGACCACAGTAATGCAGTTAAGGGAGACAGTCTTACAGCAGAAGGAAACTATCATGAACCAGAAGGAGACGATCAGGGAACTAACTTCGAAGTTGAGCCGCTGTGAGAGTCAGGGTGTCAGGGTGGTGCCCGTGGCTGGAGGTCGGAGAAAAGAACCGGGCAAAAACACAATGGGAGACGTGTCCCGCGGCCCGACAGATACTCTAGCCCAACTCGGGCAAACTTTAGCCACGCTTAAACAGAGATTGGAAAACCTGGAGGTATTTATGACCTAATGATTTGGACTTTTCAGTTTAAAACGTGTGACTCCATCTAGTCTATTCCTATAAGTAATATGCTGGAGTCTTTTACACGCAAACTCATGTAATGCATGATAGAATTACTTAAACTTACAATATAATCTGTTTTATATGCATCTTAATGGGGTCGAACGACTTGTTTGGAGGTCTTTGACAGATTTAGTCAATGTGTCACTGGTTCAAAGCAGACTGTGCTAATCCTGAAATTGGCTTATCTAGTCTATTATAAGTTTCCCATGCGTGCGTTTTAAAGTATTCGTTTGAATACCCCTGTCCTGTTTTCCCGTAGCAGTACAGCAGGAACAACGGCTCTGTCCAGGCAAGCAGCCTTAAAGATCTGCTTCAACATAAGATCGATGATATGGAGAAGCAGTTGCTGTCCCGGGTCAATACTCTGGAGGAGAGCAAACCCGGGCAGAAGAATGACACGGATCAGCGCAATCGAGTGGAGTCAACCCTCACCTCCTTACATCAAAGAATTAACGACCTAGAGAAAGGTCAGAGATCTCATTCCATGAGAAATTTTACTTATATGTGATGTAAATAATAAATATGAACTACTACAGTAATGATGCGTTTGAGAAACATAGCTGGAAGGTAGTTTCAGTAAAACACCAATGTTTACGCGGTGTAATGTCGCAGAGGATGGTTTGGGAGGGGGAGCTGCATTATTTAGCATATTGAGCCCATAAAACACAAATGCGATGTAGCCTAATAATGATAGGATAATTAGAGCCCACGTCCTTCTCAAAGCAAGTATGTCTTGCCTGCATTGCTGCGTAAAGTTTGCTGCTTAAAGCCCAGCCTGTTTAACCAATGCAGCATGCGAGAGATTCAAAGCAGTGTTATTTCTCTACTTCTTTACTATAACCACAAGTTTCACAAAATACAATAAATACAGATAATGTACTATGCATATATGCTCATACAAAATAAGTATAAAAACAGAATAAAAAGAAAGAACACAAAAGAATGGTCAAATTTCTGCATTAAAACGTGTTTGGTTGGTTTACCTTTAAGAAGTCGGTTTGATCCCAGAGTAAAATCTGTTAATTTGTAGAGTAGGAGGTGTGGCATAAAAGTAATTTATAGTAGTGCAATGAATAGTCCAAGAATAATAATTACAGTCACTTAAGCATCAGAGCAGTAGATACAAGCAATTGAAGCATTTGGGTTTATTAGAAGTCCTTGACGAATAGATGTAGAGAGAGGTTTCATTTAGAGGAAGAGAGAGTGTTATAAACTCTAACAGTCCATACTTTATACTCTGCAGGTTCAAAAGGTAGCAGGCCACTGGACAAGTTTCAGATAACATTCCCCTTAAGAACAAATTACATGTATGCCAAAGTGAAGAAAAGTCTACCAGAAATGTATGCCTTCTCTTTCTGCTTGTGGATAAAGTCCAATGCATCACCCGGGGTGGGAACCCCCTTCTCCTATGCTGTTCCTGGACAAGCTAATGAGCTTGTTCTCATAGAATGGGGGAACAATCCAATGGAGATTCTCATAAATGACAAGGTAAAGTGTCAAAAATAATAATGCAATTATGCATAAAATGATTGTAAGTGGCAGCAGTAGGGCCTATAGATATTTCCCAATGTGTAACTCTGAGTTTGCTTAGTAGTAAATGATGAGGTCTGTTCATTTATAAAATGTAGTCTTTTGGCACTTGTAAACAGAAGAGCAATAAAAAAATAATCCACAGTGTAACTTTATAGGTTGCAAAATTACCTTTCGTCATCAACGATGGTAAATGGCATCACGTCTGCATCACATGGACGACTCGTGATGGAGTATGGGAGGCATTTCAGGATGGTGTTCTGCGTGGAACTGGAGAGAATCTGGCACCCTACCATCCAATAAAACCCAGTGGTGTACTGGTTTTAGGTCAGGAGCAGGTAAGACTCGGAAGTATGCCTATTAGGTTTGTGTAGTCTTTATGTTGAAGATGTTAGTTGACCTTAGTCACAGGCAAAAGTAAATCTATAGCTTAACTGGTTTGCCTGTTTTTCAGTAACCTGATATTGAATTTGGATGTTTTTTATTCTTGCAGGACACACTTGGTGGAGGTTTTGATGCAACCCAAGGCTTTGTAGGTGAACTGGCAAATTTTAACATATGGGATAGAAAATTAACAGCTGGAGAAATCTACAACCTGGCAACCTGCAACAACAGAGCACAAGCTGGAAATGTGTTGTCATGGTCGGAAAGTAATATCGATGTGTTCGGTGGAGCCACTAAATGGTACAACCACACACACACATACATATATATATATATATATATATATATAAACATTTATATTACCTCTGCGGTTATTTCTATTTAAATATTGTTTATTAGAAAGTTACAGAGATATGGAGAGAGTATTAACTAACAGACAAGTTTAACTGAATGAAAATGTACTCAATTGCACCCTAAAATCTATCATTCTCTAAATCTCACTGGCTCTCTCTGTTTGTGTACATGGGGCATTTGTTTTTGCTGACAAACACTGCCCCCTATCATTGGTTTGTGTGCACGGTAACAGACTGCATTGCTGAAAAAAAGGCTGATTTGGCATTTTGTGCTTTTGTAGACATTAACAGCCAGTGGTAGCTGCCAATAAACTGTTGGCATTTACGGTGTTCAGTCATTTGACACCGTTTAAGCATAATATGAGAGAAAAAAAACTATGATTTAAAAAGGTGAAATAAAGATAATTAAAGATAAGTGCAAAATCACAGAATGAAAAGTGGACATAACCAAACTCTGGAGTTGAATTTTAATATTTTCTGAAATATGTTACAGAGATAGGTATATAATAAGTGGCACTTATGTGTAAGTGAGTGAAGTGAAGTGACGTGTGGCCAAGTATGGTGACCCATGTCTGCATCACATGGACGACTCGTGATGGAGTATGGGAGGCATTTCAGGATGGTGTTCTGCGTGGAACTGGAGAGAATCTGGCACCCTACCATCCAATAAAACCCAGTGGTGTACTGGTTTTAGGTCAGGAGCAGGTAAGACTCGGAAGTATGCCTATTAGGTTTGTGTAGTCTTTATGTTGAAGATGTTAGTTGACCTTAGTCACAGGCAAAAGTAAATCTATAGCTTAACTGGTTTGCCTGTTTTTCAGTAACCTGATATTGAATTTGGATGTTTTTTATTCTTGCAGGACACACTTGGTGGAGGTTTTGATGCAACCCAAGCCTTTGTTGGTGAACTGGCAAATTTTAACATATGGGATAGAAAATTAACAGCTGGAGAAATCTACAACCTGGCAACCTGCAACAACAGAGCACAAGCTGGAAATGTGTTGTCATGGTCGGAAAGTAATATCGATGTGTTCGGTGGAGCCACTAAATGGACTTTTGAGCCCTGCCGTCAGCTCAACTGAACTGCAAAGTGGGGGCCATAGCCAATCCCAGATCCATGTTTCTAGTTTTTGTCTTTCTTTTCCTCAGTTTGATATTCCTGAAAAAGAAGAAATCTTGATAAAACAATTTAAAGGTTCTGTAAGAGTAAACCTGGGGTTTCTATGAATACCTGAAAATTTCTGTGCAAAGCTAAGAATTTTTTTTTTTGTCTTGATAAAATAGTTTCATGTTGGTTGTTTTGCAAACCTCAAAGCGACAGTTTTAAGCCAGGTTACTTTTAGTATTAGATCATTTTTTTGCTGCTTCATTTATTTATTTATTGGACACAGTTCTTTGCTTATTTTGTCGTTCATATATTTTTTTGAGGGGCCAGCAGCTGAAGAACTCAGCTCTCTTTGCAGACTCTTTGCAGCTTTTGGGCAGTAAAGCAACAGTGCATCAGAACATCACTCGTGTTTTCCGAACAAGACTTCACAAAGCCAATCACAAATTGTAAAATGATGGTTTAGTTGTAATCTACACTTAACCGTACCCCACTCTCACCGGATTTTGCACTGTGATGGACTTGAAAATAGGACAGAAAAAGTATTAATTAATTAATTAATTAGTTAGTTCGTTAGTTAGTTGTTAATTCGTTCGTTCGTTCGTTCGTTCATTCATTCATTCAGAAAGGAATTGTTTAAGAAGATGGCACTTCCTTAATTTGTTTCCAGTGATCTTACCGATGTTTCTATAAGAATGTTTAGTTGCCAAAATGCTTACAGCCTGAGTGCTTTGAGCTGATGTATCAGTTCAGCACATACTTTTAGTTTGCTTACTCATGTTTTGCTTTATCTTTTTGCTTTTGTTGATGAATTGTTTTTATGAAATGTGTTTAACAGCGATTGTTAAGACTCTGGTGTGTTTTAGCAATAACTGGTGTATTTGTACTCTGTTCTAGGAATGTTATTCGTACAGTAACAGCATGAATTATCAAATGCTGCAACACCAACATCGGCTTATCCTATCGTTTTGGGTCGGGTTTTTTACAGTATTGATATATGCTGAAAGCATGGCACTACTGAGAGATGATGAAGATCTAATTTTTGTAATAAAAGCATAATATGAGAGAAAAAAAACTATGATTTAAAAAGGTGAAATAAAGATAATTAAAGATAAGTGCAAAATCACAGAATGAAAAGTGGACATAACCAAACTCTGGAGTTGAATTTTAATATTTTCTGAAATATGTTACAGAGATAGGTATATAATAAGTGGCACTTATGTGTAAGTGAGTGAAGTGAAGTGACGTGTGGCCAAGTATGGTGACCCATACTCGGAATATGTGCTCAGCAATTAACCCACCCAAGTGCGCATACACACACAATAGTGAACACACACACCGTCAGGGACGTGCAAAGACATTTTGTCACATATTTATTAAAAAAAATAAATTCTAAACAAATCGTTAAATATATTAACACAACACTGACTTACCAGTTTATTTTAATTCCCTTACACTCACCCAATTGTTTCATGCTGTTTCATTTTTCAACATATGTCTACAAAATAATCAGTTCACATAGAGACCATGGTCTTCTTCACTAATTTTATCAGAACAGGCAACAACAAAGGAAACTAAGCCACAATGTGCATGTTTTCTATGCTACTAGTTTTAAGTATAAATTAAGAATAAATGACTGCACAAAGGAGAGGGACATATTTTCAGTAATAATTTCTTTATTTTGCGCAAGACAATAAATTGTTTTAATTTCAGTGTGGCGATTCTGATGACATTATTAATTTTACTGTAGAAAAATTGAAGGGGGTCTGAATACTTTCCGTACCCACTGTATATACATATATTCGTTTATTTAAAAAAAATTATAAAAAATACAACTTCCCAGAAAAAAGGGCATTTTCTCTTAAGGAAGAAATAGGGCAGGTGCTCAAGCCCACTTTGATGTCTATGTGTGCATGTGCCTGCACACTGTGAACACACACCCGGAGCAGTGCGCAGCCATTTTTGCTGCGGCGCCCAGGGAGCAGTTGAGGGGCCGGTGCCTTGCTCAAGGGTCTCATCTCAGTTGTAGCATTGAGGGTGGAAGAGAGCGCTGGTCATTCACTCCCCCACCCACAATCCCTGCAGGACCTGAGACTCAAACCCACAACCTTCGGGTTACAATTTCGACTCTCTAACCATTAGGTCACGACTGCCCCTATATTATGCCATCAATAAATTAGGAACAGAAATATTACAGGTGCACTCAGACATTTTAGTTTATTTTTTGCTGACTGATATGCAGGTCATTTTAGATTCACACTGACAGCTAGTGATCTTGATGCAGCATCACACAAAACCAAAAGATTTTGATGTTATCAGTGTCACTGGTTTTCAATTCTGGTCCTGGGGACCCACCGCTCTGCACATTTTATATTCAATTCAATTCAATTCAATGGCTGTGATTCAGCCGTAGACATGAAGCAAGTCACCTTTATATAGCGCTTTATACCAGGGGTTTTCAAACTTTTTAATCCCAGGGACCCCCAAATATGATGATTCCTTGCAGGGGGTCCCCTTGTCTAAAATATAAAGGCAACTATGTATTTTAAGTATAAACAAGTCAACTAAAATTCTGTATAATGTAAAGACATATTGCAATTCATATTTCAATAAACAGGCATGTGAAATGCTATTGTTTTAATAACAATTTCTTTTATTATTTGGCAAACTCGCTGAGACGCTCAGCACGCTCCTGGCGTTTTAATTAAGCTCTGGGGCGTTTTTGTGTATTTTCGCCTATGTTTTCTATGCTACTAGTTTTAAGTATAAATTAAGAATAAATGACTGCACAAAGGAGAGGGACATATTTTCAGTAATAATTTCTTTATTTTGCGCAAGACAATAAATTGTTTTAATTTCAGTGTGGCGATTCTGATGACATTATTAATTTTACTGTATATTCAGCTGTCGTTTCTCCATTAAGTTAGCCTGTATGCCCATGATATATTGCCTTAGCTAACTTATTATATGCTAGCAAGTTAGATGTTAGCAAGACAAATTAACTATATTTGCCTTTTGTCTTTTGAATAATTAGCTGTAAATTCAAGGCACAGGTAGCTTAGTCTTGGGACCCCCAAATATGATGATTCCTTGCAGGGGGTCCCCTTGTCTAAAATATAAAGGCAACTATGTATTTTAAGTATAAACAAGTCAACTAAAATTCTGTATAATGTAAAGACATATTGCAATTCATATTTCAATAAACAGGCATGTGAAATGCTATTGTTTTAATAACAATTTCTTTTATTATTTGGCAAACTCGCTGAGACGCTCAGCACGCTCCTGGCGTTTTAATTAAGCTCTGGGGCGTTTTTGTGTATTTTCGCCTAAATTTGACATACCCGATTTCAAATGTTTACCCTACACACATACAATGGACAAATTAACTATATTTGCCTTTTGTCTTTTGAATAATTAGCTGTAAATTCAAGGCACAGGTAGCTTAGTCTTTTGTTCATCACCACTCACCTCCCCACCAAGACAAACACAACTGGAAATGGAGGGAGGGCTTCATCTCTGGGCTCTCTGCCTGTCTGTGATGTGCATGTGCCGATCAATGTGCGCTACACCGCTATGCTGCGCGCCGTGAGCGCATGCGCGGAGACGCGGAGGGGAGAAAGGCATCAGAACTCGACAAAGTGTCAACATTTCCCGACCTGACCTGATATTTAGATTTTTTATTTGTTTGACAGGGAAAGCTGTGCACAAACAGAAACACACACACGCAACTAAAAAAAGAGACTAATTCAACTGGGGCGTTTTTTTGTATTTTCGCCTAAATTTGACATACCCAAATTCAAATTTTTACCCTACACACATACAATGGAGGAAATGAAAAAAAAAAATGGTGTCATTGTATAGAAAACCCTTTGAACTACAAAATATGATTGTAATTCTTCATAAATAACATTATATATGTTTTAAATATTACAATAAACACTAAAAAAACATAGGCACTTTTTGATTTTATTTCAGTTTTTTTTTTTGAAAGTCTGTTATTCAGGTTCTGTTTGCTCCAGCTCCCTGCAACTTATATGGTTTGATTCCACTAGGTGCCAAGATGTACCAGAAAAAATAATCTTTCAAATAACAGCTTCTAAACAGGAGTTATTGAATTATAACCGAAGGGAGTAAAATTGTCCCTTTTTTGCGTCTAAAAGTGTCTTTGTGAGTTTCCTTTGCAAAAACAGGTTTTATAAAGCATATTGCCCCCAGAATCCTATTTTACTACGTGCCATAGCACTTTTCTTGATTATTGACTTAATTATGTTTCATGTTTTATGTTTGTCTAAGCAGTAACATACAAACTGGCATAAGCGAATTATACCAAATATCAAATTTTGTGTTTTATACAATGTTTTTTTCTTTCAGGAGACACAAGACTCTATAAATTGTAAAATCCATGTGGTTTATTACAATCTAAAACAGAATCCACATCCTCCAACTTTATATCATTCCATTTACATGCATAATTTTAGTCCCCTGTCCCCTGCATCACCTCTGCATCAGCATCAGCATCCTGCTGCCTCGTGAAGATGAGACGCGAGCTGTGCCGCTAGCTGCGCCGCTAACTGCTTCTGTCATGGGCTCTCAGCTGCTATCTGGTCTTCAGCTTGTGAAACAAAAGAAATAGCTGTTTATAAACACAACCGCACTGTAATAATATCCATGTATATTTACTGAAAGGCATCCTGTCACGAATCCTGTCCATGGACTTCCGTTCGATCGCCACCAGAGGTCACCCTTCCGTTACATTGACACTCACATTACACAAACTGTTGCATGTCATCCCGGACTACATATCCCATCATCCATTGCACTGATTGCACACAGCTATAACCAATCACACATTCACTATATAACACCCACTCAGATCCTGCTCAAGTCGCCGAGTATTGTAAGCGCATATCACTCACCTAGCGATAGCTACTTTACGGAGCCAGTTCCCTGTACTAGTTTAAGTATTTAGTTCTAGTTTCCATAGTCTAGTCAAAGTCTTGCCTTACCTGTTTTCTCGTGTTGATCTTCTGCCTGTGTATCTTGGATTAACCCTTTGCCTTGCTGTTTTGGACTGTGTTTGCACCTCGCCTGGACTTTTGCTCGTGTTATTGGATTTCCCCTCTTGTCAAGCCCTCTGGATAACGTTCGCTGTCGACTGACTCATGCCCATTTTGGATTACTCTTTTGTCTTTCCCTCAATATACCTGTTTGCCATTGTCAGAACCTTGCCTGTTTTATGACCACGCCTTTAAATAAAAGCTTTGCAGATGGATCCGCACGTCTCACGTCTCGTTCGCCCCGTAACAGAATACTCGGCCACACAAGGATCCAGCGGCTTTTCAAGTGGACACTGGCCAGGTATGGACATTGCAAGACTGTTATTAGCCCTCAAACAGGGCACACGATCGCTCGAGGACTATATTCAAGAGTATCTGAACTTTACTTATTTTTCTGATCTGCCGGACTGTGTACTCATAGACTTCTTTTG